GTATAGATTATAAATATAAGACTGAAAAACCAAATATTATTTGCTGCCCAAGTGTTGGGACTTCACCTTTTTGGAAAGGTGTGGTTTGGGCTATGCAAGCTGCCAGAATTGGTATCCACTGGAAATTAGGAAATGGGAGGAATGTGAGATTTTGGGAGGACCAATGGCTGGGAAATACTAGTTTAGCTATTATCTACTGGCCCATGTACGTCATTAATGAACAGCATGGCAAAACGGTGGAGGAAGTTTGGGATGGTATGGATCTAAAGCTCACATTTAGAAGAACGGTGTCAGAACAGGTAATGAACCTTTGGTGGGAATTAGTTAGCTTAATCAATGGTATTGTCCTCTCTGAAGAGGAAGACCAGATTGTGTGGGCCTATACTTCTTCTGGGAAATACATAGTTCAATCCTTATATGCTGTAGTTAACTTTAGGGGGATTACCCCAGTGTTTGTTAGTTTGGTTTGGAAGTTGCCTGTCCCTCCAAGAGTACAGTTTTTCCTTTGGCTGTTATCCAGTAATAAGCTGCTAACCAGAGATAATTTGGCCAAGAGAAGAGAGATTAGTGACCCTACATGTCTTTTATGCTCTGAAAAGGAATCGATTTTACATCTGTTCTTTGATTGCTGTGTGGCTAGTTTGATCTGGGAATTTATCTCGGAAGTGGTGGGGGTTGAGTTAGGGCAAAACTTTGAATCTGTTGCACGATTCTGGGTGGCTAATAAAAGACACAAAGTGACAAATATTGTTTCAACTGCGACCTTATGGTCTATCTGGAATTTTCGAAATGAAATTTGTTTTCAGGGGCGCAAGTGGATGGGCCTGAAGGATGTACTACTCAAGATCGCCAGGATGTTAAAGAGATGGAGGCCTATGATGCAACAAGAGCTGGGAGAAAAAATCGGAGGGGTGATCAACCAACTGGAGCAAAAAGCCTTATCACCACCTTAGCTGATCTGGAGCAGCCAGGAGGGCTCGTCATCAGAGTTGGCACCATCGGATGCTCGACATATGGTCTCCAGCGCTGCGGCTCCAATTCTACATGAGCATTATGTGTTTTCTTTACATCGTGATCAGGAGCTGGTAGCTGATGGTTCTATTTCAAGTATTTCTGTGAATTCGCCTTTAGGCCAAACATGTAAGGCGGGCGCGCCTTAAAACGCTGAACTGAAATGTTGTCTGGCTTTTTGAAATACAAAAGCAGGGGAAACCTCCTTTTCTAAAAAAAAAAAGAGGGAACAGAGAAGAATGAGCCAGTTTCATGGGCCGCTCTCCCTAACTAACCAGCCTATTTGCGTCTAACTGCGAAAGAAGAAAAAGAGGGAGAAAAAAAAAAGACAATTCGGCCCAGTAGCGTGCGGAGAAGCCCAGAGACACCTGTTTGTTGTACGTTTTTCTTTTCCCGTTCGCCTTGCTTGCGCGACGACTAGGGGCGACCGCCGCCGGCCGACGCCGAGCTGCCCAAGGTCCTCGTCGGGCCCTTTGCCGGCGACGAACATCCACCACACCAGCCACCAGGTATCCCGCCCCTTCTCTTCCCTTCCTGCTGTGCAAAACTGGCACCAGAACCCTAATAGCGCGCGTAATCTATTTTCCTATCTGTATTCGGATCTGATCCAATCTCAAGTGTATATGTACATGTATTTTATGCCTATATTTTTTTATCGGGTGTATATACATGTGTACACCCATGCCCTTTATTGGGTCCGCGCCCCTGATTGAACATTACCGGATCTGGCTTGTTTGCCGATGGCCCGCAGCCATCGGCGAAGTCTGGATTGCCATCGCAAAGGCTTTGCCGATGGCAATCCGACGTGGCCGTCGGCAAAGAGCCATCGGCAGATATTTCTTCGGCAAAGGGAGGTTTGCCGACGGCCAACTGTTAGGCCATCGGCAAAGGCGCCACGTCAGCCGACGCGCCGTCAGGCTGACGGCGGCTTTGCCGACGGCTGACGTGGCACGGCCATCGACAAAGCGTTTTTTATTTTTTTTTCGGAATTTCTATGGCGACGGCCACGGTCGTCGACAAACTATTTTTGCCGATGGCCGGCCATCGGCAAAGTTATGGTCATTTTGCCGACGGCCTGGGAAGCCGTCGACAAACCTGGGATTTGCTGACAAGTAATCTCAGGTTTGCCGACGGCTGGCCATCGGCAAACCTGGGAATTTTTTTTTTCTTTCCTTTTTCTGTTTTGCTTGCATTTCCACGACATTTCAACACATACATCACATATATAGCATATGACCCACATATATAGCAACAAAATACCATTTTCATCCGCACATCACATATATAGCATGGTACCCACATATCCTCCAAGTCATCCATACACAAGCGACAAATGTCGATCGTCATCCATACATAGTCATCCATACAAGGTCCAAAAGCGACAAGTGTAGTACCTAGCTCGAGGCGCCATCCCCAGGGGTCCCAGAGCCCCCACCACCTTGCTCCCACGGAGACCAACTCGGAGTCGTGCCCCCACCTTGCTCTCCTCACTGCGACCAACCCGATCATGGGGCCGAACCAGACTTGCCAAGATCGCCCAATTCTGCTGTGAATGGACGCTGAGGCCCGTGAGTGCCCTCGCTGCGGCCGGAGGAGTACCCTGCGATCGTGGAGGAGGCCGACGACGCACGCCGCGTGGGGAAGCTACGTAAGGTGCCCACCCGTGCGGTGGAGAAGGACCCAGTGGAGGGCTACCACTTGAGTCGGGTTCGAACCCGCCGACGGTGCCTGCACAAAGACCAAGTGATGTAATTAGTACCTATAGGCTGGCCACACAAGCTAAAGCGACAATCATTGTACTCACCGACTGTGCATGCAGAACAGCAAAGGAACTACCGGTGGTGGAGCGCGAAGATCGAGGCGGGAGGCTCCTGCATTCCGGGATCTGGGCCCAAGTGTAGGGACAGTCCGCCAATTGTCTCTGGTAGTCTTTGCGTAAGTGCCGGCAATGCTTCCTGATGGGCGCGATCCCATTGCTACTGGATAGCCGCTGGGCTGCTGGGGCCGCTTCTGACTCTTGGACCGTGGCTCGCAATATTACACCGTAATGGTTGATGGTATTTGAAGGCAAGGTACATCATCTGTCAAACGAGTGAACGACGAATGAAACTCCACTTACCTGAAGTGTCGTCATCATCTGCGCGCTGCTCTGCTGCCGAGGCGCTATGGGGATCCCCGAGCTCCTCACCGGTCGAGCGTGGCGGAGGCAGTCCTCGCCGGCCGGTCGAGCCACGGCGGGGGGCGGGGCCGCGGCGGGCCGGCGGGGACACGGCGGGCCGGTTGGGTTGGGGGGGAGAGGGAGCTCGGCGGGGACAGAGGGGGGAGCTCGGCGGGGAGAGGAGCCCCGAGCTCCTCACCGGTCGGGCGTGGCGGCGGCGGTCCTCGCCGGCCGGTCGGGCGTGGCGGCGGCGGTCCTCGCCGGCCGGTCGAGCAAGCGGGCGGCGGAGACCTGGCGGGCCAGCAGGCACACTACGGCGGGAGCGGGGGAGCTGCGGTGGGCAGTGGAGATCTTGGCGGCCTTGGCGGAGCTGTGGTGGCGGCGGCGCAATGGAGACGCGACGGATGGGGTTAGGGTCGGGCGCGATGGGGATTGGGTTACGGTTGGGATGGGCTGGCTGGGCCTCTGCCTTTTAATTTTTTAAAAAAAATGTGTTTGCCGACGGCCACGGCCATGGCCATCGGCAAAGAACCATCACGTGGCGGCCTCGGGGGGCCGTCCCCAGGCCTCCACCTTGCCGATGGCTACAGGCCCGGCCATCGGCAAAAACTTTCTTGGCGGCCTTCACATGTCGTCGGCAAAGTTTGAATTTTTTTTTTTTTTTCAGCCCATTTTTTTCTGGTGCACCCCTACATCAAATATAACCAACTTCAAAAGTTGGGACAATTTTGATTTTTAGCTATATTTCGTTAATTATTTAGCATTTATGGGTTTGGCCATCCGACGTCACCACTTGCTCAAAACTTTTGAAATTTTTACCATGGCCTCCACATGCCATGACAACACAACTTGCCAAGTTTCGAATTTTGGTATTCGTATGGATTTTATATAATTTAAAAATACTTTCCACGCACGTAACTCCCCATGTTACGACGCCAACATGGTCGCGTCATCATGCGAGCTCCTCGGATACGTGGAAAAGATACTCCTAGAATCATGAATACCATCTTTCGAATCAAAAATCCCATTATTTCATGTACCGCAGCTCAAATTTGAGTCGCATGTGGCAAAGAAATGTAAATAATTAACGAAAATATAGTTAAAAAATCAAAATTGTCCCAACTTTTGATTGGCCAATATTTGATGTAGGAAGGCACCAGAAAAAAATGGGCTGAAAAAATGTAAAATTGAAACTATGCCGACGGTGATGTTAAGGTTAAAGCCGTCGGCAAGTAGGTTTGTCGTGGGCCGACCATCGGCATAGACGGTGGGCCCAGCAGCTCTGAGGCGGCCACGTGGCCTGTCTATGCCGATGGCCACGGCCGTCGGCATAGCCTTCCCTTTTGCCGACGGCGGCACCGACAAAGAAGGCCATCGGCAAGGGAAGGGCATTGGCGTCGGCCGGCGTCGGCCGGAGTCTGCCCTGGGCCAATTTTGCCGATGGTCGGACATTGCCGATGGCCTGGCCGTCGGCAAAGATTAGTATTTGCCGATGGCTCGGGTTTGCCGATGGTTTTGCCGTCGGCAAAGATCGGCTTTGGCGATGGCCTGTCTTTGCCGATGTCTGGACCGTCGGCAAAATATCTTTGCCGATGGCTCAGCTTTGCCATCGGCAAATCCTGTGGTCTGCCGATGGCTTATTCTCTGGCCATCGGCAAACCTCCCGGCCGTCGGCAAATAAGCCGTTTCCGGTAGTGATAGACACCTTTTAGGTCTTGGACGACGCACGTACGTCGCCAGCGGCGGCGATCTCGTCGGAGAGCGGAGAGTCTAGCGCGCGGCCGGCGGCCAGGCGAGCGCGATCCTCGATCGGACAGGTTGGTCGATCTCGATGACGGGGTGCCTGTGGCCGTGCGTGGGAGCGGCGGTGGCTGGGGATGGGGCCGGCCACCGGAAGGCGGGGCTGTTCCGCTCCAAGCCCAGGACCCCCGCGGAGGTGGTGCAGCACGTCAGGGACCTGGTCACCTACGTCCTCGACAACAAGGACGGCTGCTGCGGCGGCAAGCGCGACGCCAAGCTTGAGCACAGGGTAACACGCCTTTTTTGAAATTATAAAATTCCTACTGATTGCATGCTTATATATATCGATCCCTTGTACGTACATATATGTACTGTACTTTGTTATTTAATTTATGCTTCCCAGTAAAGTGATTATTGCGAACCGACGTTTATACAACTTAAAACTGTATCGATGCTCGATGCTTGTTAGGGATAGATGTATTCGTGTCGTTCCATCGATCTGTTCTTGCTTTATGGATAGATTTGTCCGTTTCTGTTCTTTGCTTCCGTTTATAGTGCATGATCTTTTGACGCCGGTGTCACCGCATTGGAGCTGTTCCATTCGTGCAACTATATATATCAGGAAAAAAAACTAGACCTGCGGGACAGCCTCGGGTATTGCATTAAGAAGACGACCTTCTCACGCAGGTGAGGAAACCTACGAACGCCCGTCCCATACACAACGACACCATAGTCCATGTGAGAACGACCACGACTTAGGGTGGGTCTTAGACTTGTGCTTTAGCGTGGGACAGACGAGAGTATTTTTTAACCCTAGCCTCAAAATTCGCTCCCACGGGGAGTCAAACTCAGGACCTGAGAAGTGCTACTTAGACCACCTAACCAACTCAACTAGAGGCCCTTTCGCAATTATATATCAGGAGATTTTCTTGTGCAATTGTTCCTTTTTTCAGCACAAGACGTATATACCCATGGTTGCTTTGGCCTCTCCTATAGAACTAGCAACCTGAATATTTTACTGTTCCTAAGAATTAATAGATGGTAGAGTCCATATTTATTTTATTTTTTTGGTTGTCGTTGTGAAAAACTGTAAATGTTTGATCATACCACATATACTTACAAAAATGTGATGAAAGGACACACTATACATCAAGTAGCATATAACTTCATATATAGAGATCAAATAACCAATATAAGTTGTCTATGCTGTATGCAAGATATTTATCGTAATGCATCTTCTGAAATTGCTTGTTGAGGATGATTGTAATTGCTTGTTGAGGATGGTTGTAGGGGGTTCAACCTTTACACATTGAAACGACTAGGAACTTTTGGTTTTGGTTTGTATCTTGTTAGTTTAAATAATCAGCAATAGAAATTTAAAAATAACAAAAAAAAATGGCCTTTGATCTGAAGTAGCAATTAAATCCACATGATTGGCTTGCAGATGGTAGAACTAAGCAAAGGAATCAAGGAGATGAAAGGCATTCTCTTCGGTAATGGCGAAGAAGATCCTTGTGAAGAAGCTTGCAAGCAATTGACTAAGGAGTTCTTCAAGAAGAACACTGACACCTTCCGTCAACTAATTGTTTGCCTTCAATACGTGGACTTGGAAGTACGTCGATATCTATACATTTTGAAAAAAAAAATCTTCTAATCACGTTTTGTTCTAGTCAAAAACACCACTTCTAAAATATTTATAATTTTTCCTTAGACGCAAAAGGATGTTACTCAAGTGATTGCAAATTTGCAAAGGCAAAAGGTTGATTCAAGATTGGTTGCCTCCGCTTGGAAGCTAACTTGGATCTTTTGGATATTTTGATGTCTGGGTAAGTATCTAGTCGACTCATGATCATCTCTATGGCTTTAAGTTACTTTTAATGTGCACATAGATGGCCTTAAGTTACCTTAATGTGCATGTGCATTTATATAACTATAGTATTCAAACTATATAATATATAATCTTCTAAAATCAAATGGGTTATCGTTTCTATTCTTCATTTAGAGACTATCTGAAAATTGTTTGAAATCTGTGTGAATATCATTTTTGAAATAACATGGTATTAGTTCCACCAACTTGCATTGAAGGTACGAAAACTTGGACATTGCAATACATTACAGTACTCTATTGAGAGATTGCATACGCCACCAAGTCGCTGCAAGGTATGTGCAATAATCTTTGTCATCTACCATGATAAGAAAAAGGTTAATGACATGTGCTGCGTCAAACTCATATGTTAAAATCTTTTGCTTAGTGTAATCAATGATTGTTTTGTAGGTACGTATTGGAATCTCCACACTTCAGGACTTTCTTTGATCATATACAGTTTCCAGACTTCAATATACAATCAGATGTCTTTAAAACTTTTAAGGTGAGTACATGCCATGACTTTAGAACTAAAAGGCAACATTGTACGATTACGTTATGCTTTGCCCTCACCTGATAATTGTTAACAATTATAAAGTATATCCCTATATATTGGTAGATTTTTGTTAAATTTGTTGTCATTGATGGGTGATAGTTTTTGTTCTTTAATTAATTTATTTAACAGGAACTCATGACACGGCATAAATCAACTGTTGCTGAGTTCTTTTCCAAGAATTATGATTGGGTAAGTGCAAAACTAAGACTTGTGGTTTTGTATTTGTCTGCATATATAATATAACATATAAAAACATCCTCTGTAACTTTATTGAAGCACAGATGATTGTAAATTGTAATCTCTAACCGTAAGCTATGGTGTCAGTTCTTTGTGGAATTCAACTCGAAACTGATATTATCTGCTTCCAACTACTTCATCCGAAGGCAAGCCGTTCAAGTACATTCCTTTCCCTTCTCGTTGTTTAGCATTAATATAATGTCTATTTACTTTGGAGAGTTTGCTTGTCATCACATACATTCAATCAGCACTCATAAATTCACGAACGTCATTTGATCTTATCCCATTTGCCCTATGTGTAAATGGTATTCCTCTCAGCTCTTGCGAGACATTCTTTTGGAAAGGTCAAACATTGCAGTGATGATGCGCTATGTTAGTTCGAAAGAGCACCTCATGATTCAAATGAACCTTCTGAGGGTAAGATTTTTTTCCCCTGCATTTTAACTGAGCTGCCCAATCATAATCATGCTCAGCCGCAAAGATGAGCATTCAGGCCGCCCGGCACGGCCCAGTAAGGCACAGCATGGTAGAGCATGCGACGGGCCGCCCCAGTCCACTGTGCCTGGCCGATGGCCCAGGCACGGCCTGTCGGGCCACTTTCCGTGTTGGCCCGGCCCAGAAAGGACGGCCTTTTTAGCAGGCTGGGCCGGCCCGAGGCCCACCAAATGCCAGCACCCGGTTTCTCAAAAAAAAAACAAATGCCACATCACCCAGCAGCCAGAGAGAGAGGGGGAAGGGAACGCCTGATCTGGCCGTGGAAGGTGGCGACGGCCGCCAGCACACTCGCCCCAAGGCGCTTGGTGGCGGCGTGGAGGAGGAGGTCGACGCCGCGCTCGCCCCCAGATCTGACCGCGGAGGAGGAGGTTGACGCCGCCGCGCTCGAGGCCGGCGCGGTGGAGGCGTGGAGGAGGCCGGGCGCGCGCCGCGGGGAGCCGTGGTCGTCTGCCGGTGGTGCGGAGGCCATGGGGCGAGGAGGAGTGAAGTGGAGGCGCGCTCGGCCAGCGGGTGCTCGCGCCTCGGGGAGAAGGAGACGCGCCTAGATCTGATGTGAGGGAGGGGAAGCGGCGGACGCGGAGTCGCGACCTGGGAGGGGGGGGGGCGTTGCGCGGTCGAGACGAAGATAGTATGGCCGAGTTAGTGTATGGGCCTTGGGAGTTGGTGTTGGGCCATAGATATAGCGGGTCTTCACCGGGCCTTTGGCTATTTACCGGGCCGTGCCATGCCGCACGGCGTGCCTGGGTGCGGCCCAGGCACGGCCCGGAGAGTTGGGCCGTGCCGGCCCGGGCCCGCACAACACCGGGCCATGCCGTGCTTGGGCCGGGCCAAAAAACCGTGCTGCGGGCTGCATGCTCATCTTTACTCAGCCGCCATTAGCATTGTTAGTACTTTAATTTTGTGTGCCTGGTCGAATGCGCTCTCCTGGTTCAGACTTTGAATCTCATATACGCACGCTTATCTAACTTATTTGCTTGTTACGTTTGACGTTGCCAGGACGAAAGCGTAGCTATTCAAGTAGAGGCTTTCCATGTCTTTAAGGTACTATATACGTCAGTCAAAGTCCCCTGCCTGTCCCGCTGCTGCTGCAAACAAATTCTCGTTGGTTGAATTGATAAAGAAAAATGCCGTCTCTGCCTATACATGTGCATGCAGCTGTTCGTCGCTAACAAGGAGCAGCCACCTGAGATCACCAGCATACTGCGCGCCAACAGAAGCAAGCTCCTGAGGTTCCTGAAAGACTTCACCACCGTGGAGAAAGGTAAATTTGCGGCACGTACGATAACCTCTCCGCATGCATGCACCCAGTTAACCAAAATTCTACATGTTCCAAGACGATGGACCAACTTGAATTCACTTGTTGAATGCAGACGATAAGAAGTTCGAGGCCGACAAAGCTACGGTCATCTCGGAGATCCTAGCGCTAGCTGAAAAGCAGTAGTTGGAAGCGTCGAGATGCAAAGTGCAGTAGCTAGCTAGTGTGTGTCTCCGTGTGTTTTGTGTTTCATATAAGGAGTATAATCGAATGTGAAGCGTGAAGGTAAAGCCTGTGCCGGCTCATTGGTTTCTTTAATTTGGGCCGCCGCGGCGCCGCGCCACAAGTGAGCGCGCAGCGTGCTGCGGTGCTGACAGGTTGTTGTCTTTACCGTAGTAGTGACAAAGTACCTTTTACCAGTCGAGTATCCTGTGCCATGTACTAGTCGTGTCGTGCTTTATTTTGGAGTGGATGGATACTCTCATGTCGCGTGTGTGTCGACTGGTGTGTTGGACAAGGTACGGCTGGGCCGCTGGAGGCCGCGAGTCGCTACATGGAGTGGCCCGGTAGCCTGTTATCCGTCCGCCCTTACTGCGGCCGTGGGCTGCCGGCCTGCTCTGAAACTGCAACCACGTCCGGCCCACAAGACAACGTAAATAGCCTGCTGGTTCCTCCAAAAAAACAGCTGGTATACCACCGTGGAAAAAAGTCGCGCCATTGGACTTCTTGTTTTCTGCTCTGAAAAGGTGCAGTACCAAGTAGCAACCCGAGCAAACTTGCGCTCAAGAAGCCACGGCCAACCGGTGAAGCGCTCGGTGTTTTCCGTGCAGGCGTTCGTGGTAGCACAGAGATTGTTGTTTGCGCATACAAATCGTCACGACATATGAGCATATCCATGGAGTCTGGAGCAAACATGAATAGAATTTTTGTTCCGGATTACGGCGCAGGCGCAGCGACTTATGGATGTACAGGTAATACCGGCATAGTATGGTGCAGGACTCGATTACTGCTCACCCAGGAGAAAGACACGAAAGGCGACACTACTAGGCGGAGAAGAAGCCGTCGGCAGCGGCCAGGGCGAGCCCGGTCTTGGGCTCCAGGTGCACGGCGACGCTGACCCTCACCCCGGACGCGGCGGCGGAGGCAGACTCCACCCACGAGCTCCACACCTTGGCCACGGCCCCGAAGTTCCTCCTCTCGCCGCCGCTGTCCCCGCCGGCGCCGGCCCCAGGGGCGCCTCTCTTCGAATTCTTCTGGAACTGCTCCGTCACCAGCAACGCGATGTCCGCCATCCTCTCTCTAGTCTCTCTTCACTGAGCACGATCTCGCTCGGAAACACTCTGCCCTCGTTTGCCCTGCACTGGTCTCTGTGGATGCTATCTGTGAACCGTGATGAACGATGAGCGGGACCGGGCTGGTCTATATAGTCCCGCGCCGCGCCCGGGTCGGTGGCGATTGGGTCTGCTTCCGGATAAGCATCGCTTTTCAATTCTGCTGCCGCGTCGACGGTTTGTGCAGCGATCTGGGTCGTCGCTGGTTTGGTTTCTTCGCTTGATGGCGGACCCTGTCTCTTTCTGTGGTCTCCAAATTTAATCCCGTTGGCCGGTGAGGAGGCGGCGGCGACGTGCCGTGGGCGCCGCACTGCCGCGGCATGTTGCACGTTCTGTAGCAACACGTCCTGTCTGTCTGTCTCAGCGATTTTCCTATTTTATATTACATTAACTATTAATTATTATTACAGGTCTGTCTATATATCTAGTTTTGATTTGACTTTTTATACGTCAATTTTACTATGCATCTACGTATGGATGGATTAAAAAAAGTTAAAACGACTTATAATTTAGAATGGACGGAGTATATCATTAGTAGTAGTAGTACTGTAAGCAAATACGCTAATAACACAACACGGATTTAACATGTTTTTTTTACTACGGGAAGTATTTCCACGTCCCATGTGCTTGATGCGGCTTGCGAGACGTCTCGCTCAGTCGCTCTTGGATGTGAACGTAAAGTAATAAACAGTCACATGATGCAAATCTCCCTGTGGCGCCCCGTCGATGTATTTCTTTCACCGTCGATCAGCACATGCCCGTGCTCCCCGTGTGCGTTTGTGCGGTGCAGATGAGATGAGTGCGCCCCGCCGCCACCCACCCACCCCCCCCCATTTTTCCGCGATTGATGCCCCCGTTCGTTTTCCGTCTAGACACTTCCTAGAATCCTAGGTGCGGTACCACCCGCTTGGATGCCGGCGGTGGTTGCAGTGTACCAAGCAGTAGCGCCGACCAGAGTCACGCCATGCGCCCATGCCGTGCCTTGTGCTTCAATCACAAACAAGGTACTACGCACTAGTATTCTAGAGGACTTGGTTCAATCACAAACACCGGTTAGATAGGTCATCATCACAGATGATGTATCCAGATCTTAGCTGACTCATGGCCCTCATCATTGTCCTCGCCTCCTTCGACAGGTGGGCTACTACTAACCACACCTGCACGCCAGCATCACACTAACCCACAGAAAGTGGTGTCTTTTTGTTGGAGGTACACGTCTCGCATCTTCCTGCAGTGCAGGGAGGGACGATTTCTCGAGCTAACTGTCCACAGAAACAGCGAGGTTGCAGAGCTGATCAGCAGAGCAGAATAACGACCGGGGATGTGCCTTGCCGTGCCTTTGCTAGCGCCAGGCTTTGCGCCACCAAGATGCCTGCAGCCTGCCTTTTCCCCGAGGGCGAGAGTGGACCGCGCACCAGAAAACAAGAAGAAACCCATGTGTGCCGCGTCGCCGTCAGTCCACGGTATTAGGCCGCGGCATCGGGCGCCAGTTTCGCTAAACAAACCAAAGCAGCTTCGCAAGTTTGCGCAAAAGCAGTTTTGGCTCACTCACTCCCACAGCGTGACTGACCTGATACAGAGACGTGCACGCCAGGGCAAGATCAACACTCTACTCGGGGAGAACTGAACCTGCACGGATTCTTCAATAATCTTGGCCCTTGTTTAGTTCTTTCGAACTTCTAAAAAGTGCACTATGCAAAAAAAAAAAGACTTCTCGTCATATTAAACTTACGATACATGCATAGAGTACTAAATATAGACAAAATCAAAAACTAATTGTACAGTTTGCTTTAACTTTGCGAGACGAATCTTTTGAGCCTAATTAGTCAACGTTTAAACAATAATTCACAAATACAAACGAAATACTACAATATGAAATCTTCACTGTGCAAAATTTACCTGCCCAACTAAACACCGCTTTGAATGTATCCCAAAACATACATGGGTCGCCGTAACGCTGTCCTTTCCGTAATAATCATAAAAAAATAAGCCGAGGAAAACAAACACCCCTTGGACTTGGATGCAGGTACAGCTCGCAAGTCAACAGTTCACAAGACCTGGTACCCTACTCTCCGCAACGAAAAAAACCGATACATGTTTTCAGTAGTTCACACGGCGTGCCAAATTCACCGGAAAAAACTCGACCTACGGGGGGTTACGACGGCCTCCGAGGTTTCCGTTAAGAAAAAGAATCTTCTCACACAGATCGAGAAAACTCCTGAACTCCCGCCCCCATCCTGACGCAGGAGGTGCCGTCACCCTGTGAGAACCGGGCCAGGGCCTTCCACTACGCTTTGGCACATGGGGACGGACGATGGAATTTTTTTTAACCTCAGCCTAAAATCCACTCTTACGGGGAGTCGAACCTAGGACCTGAGACCTTTGGCTGCCAAATTCACCGGAGCAACAACAGGTTATACATTTCTAATTTTCTACTAGTACCACACATGAGACAACTCTTTGGTGTGTTGTAGGCTTCACTCCTCTTCACTCAGATTACGGCCTTACGGGGACACATCTGAACACCAGCCTTGTTTGAACACTGCAGATCATCAATAAAAGACTCCCAGGGAGCCTGTGGAGACGATAGCATGGACCCTTCTGTTATGAATCGCTGCAAAGAAATTCGGTGAAGACGCTGAGTGCATCCTGCAGGTACGACGACCTGATTTCATCAGGAACTGGAGCGTTGAGCATCGTCTGAAGACATCCCATGGGTAGATTCAGCGTCTCGCTTGGGGTGTCCACAAGAAGCTCACATAGCTCCTCTGCTATCTTCGAGTAGCATGCCCTGTCATACCTAACACTGTCAGCAAGCCCAGAGAGTATTCTGAAACAAAACCTAAACAAGCTACAGATACATATGTTTCTGAATTGGTGCTAATCAGCTGAAAGTTGAACAATTTAACATAACAGTGAACTTCCTCAGGTTTCTTGGGTTTGCTGTTTGCATGAGCTTAAAGGGCCAATTCCATTAAAACGTGTGTAAAGAAGCTAATGGTTTCTGGTGGACATAGGTTCTTAGTTTCTTCAAATAGTGGATCAGTCGCATAATGTAGAATCAAATGTTACCTTGACTCAACAGGTAATTTGCTTCCCCAGACTAACAATGAATCATTTAATCGGCCAAAGAAACTTCTGCATGATTCACTTATCTCCTCGAGTGAATCCTGAAAGAAAAAGTATACTGATCTCGGTCACAAATCTTCAAGCAAATGTTTGTCTTTGAAGAAAGGGCTCATACCAAATCATCCATGGCATTTCTTTCTTGCATTGAGTTCTTTAGAATGTAGAAGTCTATGTATATTCCGGCACCAAGGTCCCAGTCAGCAATTTCAGACTTATGGTTCTCCAAGGCACTTGTGATCTTCCAGACCTCCTGATGGTTAGCTGAGCCAAAATAACAATGAATCAAGTGACTGCATATTCATACCAAGAATGCCATGTTTATTAAAAAAACAGAAGAGAAATGAAAAATACAACTCCACCAAGCATATAAATAAATCGATGAAGAGGAAAAGAATAGATTATTGAACAGACTCATCATCAGGTTTCTAGCAAATAAGTGCAGCTGTATATTTATGTGGAGCAAAAGCAATATGTTTCGTCCATGGTGAAAAAAAAGGCAATACATTTACCAAATAAATAAATTCATTAAAAATTTGTTTACGGCACAGTAAGAAAAACTTACATGACAGAAATATAGAATGAGCAACAGAAGTCATGAAAATAGCATGAGCTTTCTTCCAGTTGCCACACTGAATAAAATTCTCCAGTGCACCCTGCTTATCTCCATAGTATTCGTGATAAAGAGCCTGTATATAGAGCTCATTAGCTATACATGCTTCATGTGTAATGTTTTTCATGCACTGGCATTATAAAATATTTGCAATGCATATTACTAAAGAAAATTCTACTCACCAGAGCTTCATGCATCCATTCTTCTGGTATACCAAGTTCCACAATGTATTGCCTTTGAGCATCATCTCTACTCCATGACTCACAATATTGTGATAAAACTTCCCTGATTAATTTCTCATGAATGTATGGGGCATCGTCAAGATACGGCATGTGTAGAATGACATAGATAGCCCAATGGCACTTCCCAAGACAAAGTAATTGATAAACAAAACTTAAATCTAGCAAGTGAAGATCATTTGAACTGAAAGCACCAACAGCTTCCAAAATCGAACGCTGAAGCCATATCATATGATAATCCAAGGGGTCGAATGAAGATGAGAATGCACTGAACATAGTTTTTAGCAGCCCAAACTTCTCGCCTTGATTGGCATGAAGAAGCATTAGGTAGAAGGAGATATCAAAATGGTCACCTGGGGACCACTGAGGCGCTTCATCAAGAGGTCCTTCATCTATATATACAGGAACAGGATAGGGAACTTTTCCCTCACCAAGGAGTTGATCATAAGAACGAATGATAATATCAAGTGGTGTTTCAGGTGATAATTGATACCACATAATCAAACCAAGGTACCTTTTCCAGTCAATTGGTGAATCAAGAAAAGCAGCCTGTACGTTACCAGCAAGCAACCTATATACCTTTAACCAGTCTTCTTCTATATAATCAAAATCTAGACCGTTCATTTTCCACTGATCCAGTGTCTGAGCAAGGTCAGATCGATTTGACATTGACCCACCTGCCTGACTTAGCAAGATTGCCAACCGAACATCACCCCTTGAGACAGCAATTTCTGTGGCCGTGTCCAATTGTCGACCAGTCAAAAGAAGAAGGATATGTTCCAAGTACCTGGCATCATTTAAGGAGCTCACCTCTCCTTGCACCCGATGGCAAACACTGTCCTGTAACCAATTGCTGAAGTCTGCTCTCCTAAACAAAGGAAGTGCTTCAGGGTCTATGTCAACATAGCCTTCTTTTTTGTCTAAAACCATGCCTTCCTGATCATCATCTCCAACAGGCTCCAACTGGTTACCAGTTGCTCTTTCTGAGAACAAGACCCTGATTAACTCCCACACTGTTACTTGATGCATCAACAGCACACGCGTAGACATAGATAAATCACTGACTTCAAGCTGCTTTTCAATGATGTCAATATATGACCTGCAGATGTCAGGCAAAACCAAACGATTTGCCATGACTTTCTGAAGCTTTAATCTGAACGAGTCAGACTCAGTCTCCAGAAACTCATGATCAAGACTCTTATGGAGGTCCATTGGATCAGAAAAACATAGTTCTGTTAGGTCATCCTTAATCTTGTTCTTATCATCACGCACAACTTTGTCACTTGCAACTTTCTCTATGTGAATAACAGAAGATAGGCCCGTTCCAGGATTATTGACCAGACTACCTGAATGTACAAGTAAACCATTTGGTCCCCAACCAACACGAAATGATCTACCCATGAATAAAGCAGCATCCACTACACAATTAGTATACATGTTTCCAGCAACAGGAGTTTCTTGGTCAGCCGGCAGCTTAAAACCATCCACCTTGGTCATACTCACTGGAAATCCTCTGTTTTGCCCAGACATAAGAATACCCTGGGTCGATGGGCCAAGATCTGAAGAATTCATACTGTATTCCAAAAGTGCCTGAGGTTCTTTCCGAACCGGCATACCAGATCTCCTGCCAGCCTTCTGAGAAGACATGTGCAAGGGAGAGAGAGGCCTTAACCTCAAACCTTTACCGCTTGAGGCAGGTGAATCCACATTCATCCTTTCTTTGCTAACGTACCTCTCGTCAGAAGGGAACCCATCCTCCATATATTCATCTTCTTCCTCATTGGAAAACATCACCATCCTCATTTCTTGCATCTTTGCAGGGTCAAGCCCGAGATGAGCAGGCAATGAATGGGAAAGCTCAATTTCATGACCATTTGAAGGTGGATCTCTTTCTCTTACTTCAGTAATTGGCTGCCGAACAGCTGCCTCATCCATCACAGCATCCTCTTCCTCCTCATCGACAAGCCCAAATCTACTAAAATGGTCAACCTCAAATTTCCATTTTCCACTCACTGGATTGAATGAAAGAAACCTAGAACCTTGCTTTCTTGCAGAACACCTTAGCACCTCAACAAGGATACTGGGCTCCGGAAGATCCTTCAGACTCAGCAGCAGGGACACTTCTGCTGCTTTGTTAAGACCATGCCCTACAAGTGGCTTACAAGTCTCATCTTCATAAACCACCACATAGTGTTTTTCGAACCTGACAATTTCATTCAGGTCAATGCCCCTCACATCAGTGTCGCCCAAGAACCTAACCTGCCCATATCCAGCCCTCCCTATGATGAAGTTTGGAACCCTGCTGCAGTAGCCAGGATCAGCCACCTCCCTCTCTACCAGCTCATCAATTGATGGCCTTGCGAAGTACTCGGAGGAGCGCAGCACAGGGAACACAGTGCTAGCTGCCATGGGTGGTAGTGAGGCGATGACCCAGAATCAGCAGCAGTGAGTGACGGATCCCTGCCGTGGTGCCATGTACTTCATTGCTCCATACACAACTAACCCTGCTCCACAGAAAACATGGTTCATGGTGAGATGAGAACATTCGCCAAGGTTATGTGACATTTTCTAAAAGAAACACACATACACCTACGTTTTAGGATATTTTTTCAATGCATAAATAATAGCCAATGAGCCACAATTAAATTCTAAAGGCATTAGCAGCATAGCAGGATCATTTCAAATTGCTCTACATTCTTGCAATTGAGCTGTCCTGCTCTTGTTTTTCAGATTTCCAATAAGCCAAACACTCCAACGACTAAAGTTACGGTCACCTGCCGTGTCTCTGCTGGCTCCACTCCACGGACGAATTGACCACGAGAGAGGGCGAGGGGAGAGGAAGAGACTACGAGTGAGGGAACAGGAGAGAAACCTGGGCAGGTGGTGGAGCTCGTCGCTCGCGTGCGGGTGTCAGCAAACGGGGCTCCCCGCTCCCCGGGAAGTCGCGGAGAGGGCGGCGTGCGTCGCCGGAAGCTGCTTCACGTTGGAGCTCACCGCCGGCGCCGGATCTCGCCGCAGGTGTGTGTGCAGGCGGGAGGGCGGCGGCGGGTGGGCGGGGTGGGAGACTTGGAGGAGGTGGCTGGACAAGGGTTCGTGTCACAACAGAGAACAGCGTTGTGGGCCAGACGATATTTGGGCTGTGTCCTTAAAAAGGCCATTATGTATTGGCAGACGATGTTTGGGCTGTGTCCTTAAATGGGCTTATCGTTTGGCGCATCGGCTATTCCTTCTACTGCCGGGTCACGACGATGAGGAGTGGACGACGGAGAGGGTGGGACGGACTAGCAACGGAGCCGGTGTCGAGCGAGGGAGACCAGAGAAGCTGCAAAAATCTCCACCACGCGGGCTTTGGGCCCTTTGGAAATAAAGCCTGCCATAAAACAGGGCCGCGTCCTCTGCTAGTAATAATAAGTACCGGGTGCTAGCGGTAAATACGGGAAGATGCACATATACAGATCGATGCCATGCTCGCTCGCTCGCTATTATATTTATTATAATTAACTATAGTTCTTTTACAAACAGTTCACAAGCTAGAAAAGACATTTTGATTTTCTGACGTTTTCTCCCCTTTCATCCATTTATTCCTGTGGGGGGGTTCTATTTCACCATGACACCACCAACACACCAAACCCGGGAGCATGCCCATCAAATCATCTGCTTTCAGTTTCATTTCAGGCCATGCATCCTGCGGTTGCTTGGTTCCACGCAGACGCATTCTCAGTTCAAAGCATGTTCCTTCAGAGCCCTGACATTGCGTAGTCCATGGAGTCCACCAAGAAGTCTGTGATAAACAGCATTTTCGTTAGTTGTCCGTGCAATGTGATAATTGAAAGTTTTTTTTAAGACTTCAGAACTGTTCGAACCTGCATCGTCCTTCGAAAAGCACATTGGTGGTTTTATTCTGAAGACGTTACCATGCAGACCCCCCTTTCCAACTAGTACCCCGAGATCTGTTAACAAAGATTATGAAGCAAAAAAACATAAATATCAGGGCATGTAGAGATCAATAAATAATCATGGCCATGGAGATGGAGGGGAGAGAAGAGAGACGGCACCTTTGAGCTTCTCAAACAGTTCAGTGGTTTCTGCCTTGGCAGGGGTCTTCTCCTTTCTGTCCGTAACGAGTTCCACCCCAAGCATCAGTCCCTTCCTCTAACATCACCTATGACTGACAAGAGCGAGGTCAAGAGTAGCTGAGTTAGAAGAACTTTTTTTTAAAAACAAATGGTTAGCCGAAAAGGTTGGACAACATAAAGAGTACACGAACTGAATCAAGATTAGAAATTTTACTTTCGTGCTTCTCCTGAAGCGATTTTAGACGCTCCACCAAGTGAGCCCCAACATCAGCACAATGTGTCTGGCGTTTCTCCTTGTCAAGTACCTTAAGCACAGCTAATCCACCAGCAGAACATACTGGATTTCCACCAAATGTATTAAATTGGATTTTTTGAGCTAACACACTTGCAATCTCAGGAGTTGTTACAACTGCCCCCAATGGTAGGCCATTGCCAATTCCCTGAAAACATGGAAAATAAATAAATTGTCACATAAGCATGGAAAGATGTTGCCACCAAAAAAAATTAAAAGAGACATTTTCCCGAGGGTTGATTAGTACATGCTTGCATTTTAGAGTACAAGATAGACCTTTGCCATGGTGACTATGTCAGGAATGACACCTTGTGTCTGGAATCCCCAGTAATGACTGCCAGTACGACCAAAACCACTCTGGACTTCATCAGCAATACAAACGCCACCAGCCTTGCGCACAATGTCATAAGCTAACTTTAGGTATCCAGGAGCTAGTTCAACAGCACCTCCCACACCCTACAGCAAAGATAGTGTATCAACAAGATTGCGACAAGGATAAGTTATTTTGAAGTGAGTTTATAAACAAACGATACCTATTATTTCAGTTCGTTGTAGCATTTTATAAATGGTCTGTTCAAAGTTTATACCTGGAATGTTTCTGCAATGAAGCCTGCAACCCTTCCTGAACTTCCATAAGTTATGTGTTCTTCAACTTCCTTAGCATAAGCTGCAGCATCAGACCCGAAAGTCCCCCGATAAGGATCAGGGTTCATGACATGATGTATTTCACCCTGCAAATTTTTTGATGAGGCTATGATAGATCTAACTAATAAACAAATGGATACTTTTTTGCTGGGTACAACGGAGAGATAAATTATTAATAACTAAGAATCTACTTCTGCAAACATGGTGACTGTGAAAAACATAACCAGTCAAATAATTTGATGAAAGTGCAGTACTTGATTATACAGTATACATACCTGAGGAATTGGGTATTTCCATGTCTGCAAACCAGTCAATCCAATCGTACCGGCACTTCCACCATGATATGCATTTCTGAGTGCAACCATACTGAGATTCCCACTATACAGCCGGGCCATCAACATTGCCAATTCATTCGCTTCAGTCCCAGAATTCACGAAATACGCAACCTGCAGCACCCAAAAACATGACGAGGTCTTCAGCTCTTACCTGCATACATAAATGAAAAGGTGCGTGTTATGGCGGCACCCAGACAGACAGTACATTTACCTTGAGATTGCCAGGCATTTTGGAGGTGAGGGCCTCTGCAAACTCTACAATGGCATGATGCAAGTAAATGGTGGTTGTGTGCTGGAGCAACTTGGTCTGCTCCACCACCGCATTCACAATATCCGGATGGCAATGGCCACACGACACTGTCACGATGCCCCCAAAGCAATCGAGGTATCTCTTCCCGTTCTCGTCATACAGGTACTGCATCTTCCCCTCCACAATGTTGAGCTGTGAACACAATTGAATAGTAAATTCTTTAGACATCGTGTCAACGTCATTCTGTCACTGCTTCAACGTTTTATAGAGTAAGAAGACTACACGGTGGTTGTTGTGCTACAAGAATTCTTTAACATGATCAGTTTCACCCGAAACTTAGACAGTCAAGGTAAACCACCATATGCAAAATACATTAAAATTTATTCTCCTAGTAAATTGGTGTCGCAACAAAGATGACGCTGCTTTATGATGAAGGTCAACACATGTTCACTGAACCCCACCTTTTTGGAACATTAATCTAATTTCACCGCACGAAGACAGTTTAACAAAGACGAGCAGACAGTGAGACGTATTTAATTTAATTAAGATCAACACTCGGAGGGTATACCGGCTTCTGGTAGTAGTGGAAGAGCGACGGGCCGAGCACCGCCTTCCTCTTCTCGAAGATCTCGGCGCCACCCATCCCGGCGTACGGGCGGGGCCGGTGGTCAAACGGCGGCATCTCCGGCGGCGGCCGCGACGGTGCCCGCTCGGGCGCCGCCTCGGACGAGACCAGCCGCCGCAGCATCTCCAACGGGCATCGCCGGCGGCTGGCGACAGCGCCACGGTGAAGCAGCGATGCGGCCATGGACGGAGAACCAGGAATGGAATATGAATTCGCTAGGGCTGGTTGCCTGGTGATTAAGATGAAAAAGAGAGATAGGGCAATGGAAGAGGGATTAAGCACGCGAGGTGAGGGAAGGATTAGTGGTACTGGGACGTGGCAAAGGTCCAGATTCCGATAGGGATGAATCCTGATTCTCGTCGTGGGATCTTTATCTTCCTGACGTGGTGCGGCGTGTACTCGTCTCGCTGATATGTGGGCCGATAAATCGGTTGGTGGCGGACTGGTGGGAGTGGTGGCGTGTAAAGGGGGTTGAGAGTCATTTCGTGGATCGTGACGACGATATATTCCTTAAACAAATTGTTATCTTGATGCGGCTTTTTCTCAAAAAAAAAAGGAAAAATCTTGATAGGGCTCACGGGCCCTGACACTTTTCCACCTTCCAAACTTTTAGTGCTGCCTCAGTTCTCAATGGAATTGAAAATTTGAAATCTCGCTTACCGAGCAGTTAAATAGTATCTTAGTTTAATCTAGATATAAATAATATCTAGTTTAATCTAAATATAAAAATAAATATCTAAATTAATCATAAAATCTATACCTCATATAAAACAAAATTCTACTATAGAGTCTATCTTACTAGTGGAATATCTCGTTCATTGCTACGGGAACTATGGAGTGATTTAGGGTTAATGATGAAAATACATATGATGGATCATTCTAAAATTACGGAGGACTAATAGTTAAAGCCTTAAAGTGCGTCAGTGAATAATATATGATTTAGCTACAGGTTTGTCTCACATTATTATCTCATGGTTTGTACTGTCAGGTTTGAATAGTTGCATATTTTAAACATAAACATGGGTATTGTTTTACGCAATGTAAAAAGTTTGAAGCATGTTCGGGATATGGGCCTATTTGGTAGCACTCCTCCTCAGGTGCTTCTCCGAAGGAGTCGAAGCACCTGAGAAGGAGTCACTTTTTGTATCTAGATGTAATATATATCTAGGTGTGTAGTAAAAACAATATATCTAAAGTAAAATAGCTTATAATTTAGAATAAAGAGGGTATCTGATAAGAAGAAACATTTAGAGACAGACTTGGGCCGTTAGTTTTCTCTGGGCTAACATCCCTGCAGCTTAAGCCCACCATCAGCCATTAACTGAGGTGTGTGCGCGCTGGACGGGCCAAAATTGGGTTATGTTGAATCTTTTCTTGGACGGGGCCAAAGATTGGTCAATGCATTCGCCGGTGTTCTGAAACTGGACAGGAGCAATAATGACACGCAATGACACTATGGCAGGGCTAAAATTAACATGTTGATGCTGATGAATTTTTGACTTCTCGAGGCCGCGAACTGGTGACTCCTTAAACGCTCGAGGAATGCCGCTACCCGCTGCCGTTCATTAGTTCAGATTCATTTTCGCATACAAGAACATATAAAGTTTCTTTTTAATTAAAAGAGCTTGGACTGGATCCTGTATTTATTGGAATCTCGATGGTTAGCAAGTTCGATCCACTTCGTTCGTGTAGCTAAGTTGCACAAAAGATGAGCAACTGATAGCGCCTGCGCATGCAACTGTACGAGGCAAGGCATGTGATGTGCTCGGCAGACAGGCCATGCATTGATGCAGGTGATTGCATTCATATTCAGATAACTCAATTTCATCGGAACTGCAGGTTCAGACGAATGCGCAGCCAGGAATGCTAATGGCTGTCCCATTTTGTGGAACCAAAACGACTGCCATGTACTCTGTCGGTCTGTCCATTGCGACATCTCAGGTGATATTTTTATATATAGTAATTACGAATGGCCATATGCATCGGAGATGTAGAGGCTAGAATACTTTTTATTTATTTATATTTCCATCATTTATAAAGATTTGCCTTGATGCATATGCTTGGGGTCAGTCAAATGTGTAATCTAACCTTTCGTACTGGTAGTTGCATTGCTCCGGTTGTAATGTTATAGCAAGTACTCGTACGCGAAGCATCTGCCCTGCTTGCCTCGACGAATCACTTCACGAGTAGCCGTGTCCGCGTGGGAAGATGCCTCTGCAATCTCGCGACTCGGAGTGACAGTTTCTGAATGACGCGACCATCAACGATTGGGCTACATGGGCACACAACCTGGGGCCCAATGAACATCGGGCCGTTCGACCGCATTGCAAGGTGTAAAAAGTCAACGTTACCTCTCTCAACTTTTGCGAAAATCTATTTTTGCTTTCTGAACTTTAAAACAAGGTAAACCACCTTCCTAAACTTTTAAAACCGTTCATTTTACCTCCCTGACTAATTATAAGCGGTTTTCAAAAACAGTTTTGTCGTTTTCTTTTTTATTTATTTTTGCTGAATCTTTGAAAAATCATAGTAAATCACAAAAAATCATAAAATAGAAAAATTAATTTTGTTGGACTCCACATGAGTAGTTCTCCATAGTGAACATATAATATGGTATGCTTTAGTATAAATGTTTTGCTGTAGCTTTAGATCTATGCTTTTCTATAATCAATTCATAGCTATAGTTTTTATGGTCCAATTGCGGTGAAATTTTTATGGTGGGCTAATTATTTTATGCATGAACTATAGTAAAAATATCATACTCATTGGATCACGTGTAACTTAGTTATAGATTTATTTATGTGTATGCTTGTTAAAAAGTATTTATAAATCTATAACTAAGTTATACATTATCAAATGAGTAGGAAATTTTTACTACAGTTCAATCATACAATAATTAGTCCACCATAAAAATTTCACCACAATTAGACCATAGAAACTGCAACTATGAATTAAATACAAAAAAGCATAAATCTAAAGCTACAGCAAAAAATGTGTACTAAAGTATACCATATTATATGTCCACTGTGTAAATCTATTCATATGAAGTCCAACAAAATTAGATTTATCATTTTATAATTTTTATATGATTTACTATAATTTTTCAAAATTCAGCTGAAATAAATAAAAATAAAAAGACAAAATCGCCTTTGAAAACCACTTATAACCGGTTAGAGAGGTAAAACGAACGATTTTAAAAGTTTAGGGAGATGATTTACCTGGTTTAAGAGTTTATGAAAGAAAAGCGTACTTTTGTAAAAGTTGAAGAGGCGATGTGCACTCGTTCCTCGCAAGTTCTACGTACACGTGGCCTCGAGGGGGCTAGCTCCGGCCAGTTCAATCATTCAAAAGCGGGGCCCGTCTACGGGCCTGGGCCCTGGCCATGTCGCGCGCCGAGCGCGGCGGGCCACGCGCTGGCGCTGGCGCGGGGGACTAGATCCGACAGCGGTTCGACTCCCGTGCTCGCCCGCCAGCCCTCCGGGCCTCCTCTCGCCCGGCCCGATCTGGCAAACACAACCGCGCGCGCTGGTGGCTTGCTCGTTCTCTCGCCGACTGGCGGGCCCGCCCTCGGGATCGTTCGGGAAACAGGGCCGTCGTCCTGCGGTGTCTCGCGCTGCCGAGGCAGGCGAGGACGTACGACCGAGCGGCAGGGCGCTGGCTGACAGGCACCGGCACCACGAAAAGCTAGTTGGTGGAGCACGCAGCAGGGGGCCGGCCGGCCAGGCCCGCGCCTTTTCGGTTCTGCGATCTGCGGCGGGTGGTGAGGTGAGCCCATGCATGGAAGTTCCCTGGTGGAGTGTGCTGGTGCGGTGGTTCCCTCCTCCACGCTCGGGGCCGCCTGAGCCAGGTCGCTGTTGTGGTCCACTGCACCGCGCGGGAGCGGCGCGTGGGATGGACCTGTTGAGGTGGTGAGGAGGGAGGGCCGGGGGAGGACCATCTTATCAGCAGGCAGCGGCGTGCCTGCGCCTGTCCGGAAGCTGGGATTCGCTTTCGTGCCGGTAATTGCCGCCCGGATCGTGGTGCCCCGATCCAGCGGCACGGACAGCGACGGGCCTCCCGTGGCACTCTCATACCACCGCCGGCGCGGTGCACCCCGGCCCGGCCAGGCCCCTACTGTCCGTCCGTCCGTCCGGCAACTGATGGTTTGTCCATCGGCGATCTATCGAGCCTCTTGCTGGTTGATGCTACTATACGTGCTACTAGCCAAGTCAGTCCGATCGATCGGGTCCCTTTGAAGTTTCAAGACATGCGTATACTCCTACACAAATGTATCGATCGAGCACGTGTGGCACGCATGTATTATTACAGCCTAGCAAACCAGTAGTATAGTATTTATTATGCCAGTCTCAATGCGGGTTTCGTGGGTGTATCATGCACATTAATTAGATGACATATCAGCAAGAAAAGGAATCTTTGCATGATTTTAGGAGGAGAGAGAGTGAATCGTTTCATGGCCACGACACGTTTGGGCACCGCTACGTGTCCTCGAATCGAATGAAACTTCGCGTTGAGGGCGTCCGGCGTTTCATCCTCATCCCGTCGCGTGCGGGCTCCCGACGGCGCCGCCCTTTCTCGCCCCTCCCGCCTCCCTCCAGTCGTTCCGCCCTCTCCTCCTCCTCCGTGGATAGGTTCGCCCCACATTCGCTGCGCTAGGGTTTCAAATCAGCGAGCAACGCTGCTCCGATGGCACCAGCGGCGAAGCTGCGGGCAGCGCACCTCCACGAGTGGGGGAAAGGGCGAGCGGGTAGCCGTCTGGGACTAAAGAAGTCGTCCACGACTGATCAGCTGTCATGACCTCTAACTTCGTCACCAGTCTGCGTCGCCGTTGCCTTCCCTCGAGGTCTTGGGGTCACCACAGTTCCCACGCCGCCACTTTGGTTTCCTCCCCGCTTTGTCTTTGAGTTCTTCCCTGCTCTCTCTGTCTTCGTGCTGTGATGCTGCACCAACATGAGTAGGATGGGGGCGTACCCCAAATTTTTCCTCTAAACACGAAACCAACAATCCCCAAATTCATGGTAAGCACTTGATTTCGATCTGTATTTCCCAAATTCATGGGCTCGTCGGTAGTTGATTTGTACTTGTTGGAAGTTGATGCGTATAAGATTGTTCATCATGATATTGAAGATTGTTTAGTATAGTTGGTTTTATAGTTGATCTTAGCATAGAAAGGTTCACTCTATTCG